CCAACCAGACAAAATAGCCAAGACAAACTGAACTAAATTCCTCACTTCAAATGTTCTGGGTTTTTTTAAGTTCAGTGTGCACTGTTCAATGACTCTTCAGTGTTGGTGTTGCTGAAGATAATAACTGTGAAGTCATACCTTAGCTACCTTCATAACAACTTAAATATAACTGAGATAGAACTTAAATTTAACTTTCCTGTATAACCAAAGTCACAATATCTCAAGTCTTGCTAGAGACAGTATGTTCCTGCTGGGGTAGTTTTCAACTATGCAGTTTTAACACCAGAGAAATTATAACCCCTTTTTCTATCTCTGGAGCCTTTATAGGAAGGCTGGTCTTGCATTATTAGTGTCTCATGTGTACCTGGTTAGGCTTCACTTACTTATGGCACTAACTTAATTTCTTTGTGCTTGTATTGGCAACTAAAACCATTTGTTTGTAGCCCCTTTTTAGAATGGGAGAAATCCCTTCTAATCTTTGCTTACAACTAAACTGCTATATGTTACACTAATGCCAGAATTAAGATGGTGTAGGGTAGTGCTGTGCTCAGCATAGCCTGTGAGAGGTGGTAACCTGTCAAAATAGCTTGGGCTCCAAATACATCTTCATTGCAAGTGTAAATACAATGATTGAGGATAGTGAAATGAAATAATTATCAATTATAAAGGCTGATGCCATGTTTCCAATGAAAAGCCTGGCAAGCCTGGCTCTGACAGAACAGCCTGCTTTCCCTACTTCTTTTGAATAAATAAAAGTGATTAACCTTCATTGGCAGTAATTTGTTCATCTTTTAGCCCTCATTCACAGGAAGAAATTTCCATTTCAGTGCATATCTTTCACAACTATTGCCATTTCTTGATTATCAGGAAACCTGTTTCAGCTCTGGATGAAATATTGTCTTTCCTAGAAGTCCTGCATTTCTGCTTCACCTTTTTATTCTGTTTAATGTTTTCAGGAGATTGTGTAATGTAGTTGTGTTTTAACAATCATACTCTTACTCGAGTCTCATGCTTTGCTGATTTCAGTCTAACTGTTCCCCTCATTTCTACCCAAATAGCTTTTGCCTGATATGGGAAGAATTGTGGCTATTTAAGGAGCAAAGTAATCAAGCTTGATGCAACTGGGTAGCATCTTTCAGCAGCTGCTGTTCACCCTGGGTTTGTTACAATAGAAGTTCAGCAAAAGCACTTTCTGTGTAGTGTCTTCTGTTTGTTTTATCATGAGTGCTTCTCATCAGAAACATTGATTGTCTGTCGCAGCTGGAGAAGTGACTTGGAGTTAGTGCAACGGGAATGATACTGGAGCTGAGGTGAAGGAGGAATTCCCCCATGGTGAGACATGCTGAGAAGTCAGGATAGGGAGGAGAAGAGTGAGTGGGCAGGAGAGTCAGTGACAGAGAGCAGGAGCTATGACAGAACCTGTCTTGAGGGGGTGGATTTGGGAAACAAATAAGAAATTATGAATTGGATTCTAAGATAAGGAGTAGTGCCATTTGTCCAAGGCACTGCTGATACAGTGTGAGGTCAATGACTTCCAGATAGGTAGTCACCCAGGAGGAATAAAGTCCAGGAAGGATATTTGTGGGGCAGAAAAGAAGGCAAAGGGCAACAAATGTAAACTTTCTGTTCTGCTCAAGTTTTCTGCACACCCCAAAGTTTAGTTATTGTTAAAAATAACTGATTTTTTTTTCTGTGCACTCTCCTGTTCTTTTTCATCTTGTAAAAAGGTTTTTTTGTTTTTAAAAAAGTGTTCTAAGCTTTGCTTCTTACCTGCTGCCTAGCTTGCTAGTCTCTTCTTGGCATGCAACCTGATCACAGCATGAAATTCAAGGCTTAGAGAATTGCATTTTGGGGATTAGTGCTCTGTGGTTTACCAAGGTTTATATTTCCCTAAGTTACAATTCCTGTAGAGTATTCCTGCATGGCTATAACTTTACTGCAGACAAAGAAGCTTTATTTCAGGGCTGCCTCTTATCAGTTGGTTTATCTTGTCAGATTTGAATGGGAGAAGAATAGTTTTGTGAAAACAATAGAAGGGGAAAGTTGATGTGTTCAGGGATCTAGAAAAGAACTATTTTGTTTTAAAATGGTTTTAACTTCTGAGATTTTTTTTTGTACAAGGAAAACAGCTGTTTCAATGCTAAATACAGTTCAGTAAGTAATGCTTTGATACTTCCTTTGTGCCACCCTGCTTCCCATTTGTGGAGTCCTGGCAGCTTAGATCATCTTTCGAGGTTCCATGAAGTTTATTTTTTTTTTATCTAAAAAATGCCTCTTTTATAATAGCATCATTTTGGGGAAGGAATTGTGTTTCACAGATTTTACAGGATGGATTACATTGTTTCAAAATCTTTGTGAAGCGCAACTGAAAAACAAAGTTTACAGCAAGAGCTCTGGAATGGATTTGTCCTTCCATGCAGTGAGTTGCATCTTACCTTACTGGTAAGGCAAATGGAAGAGAACTGCATATCTTTTATTTTTTATTTCTCAGTAAAACATTTCATTTGAGTATGATAGAAGATGAATTGTCTCTGCAGCCATATCTGAGCAAGTAGCAAATGTGTTCTTTAAATGGCAGCAGTGGGGAAAGATTTCTCATTGTGTAAGATCTTGATATTGAAGGTAATGCCATCATACTCTCCAGAGTGCTAAAAATACACAGCCTCCAAAAAGCACCCCAAAACCCAAAGATAAGTTTAATTAGATGCTTTTGATAATAATTTGTCAAAGACATTGCACATTCAACTGAGAAATGTAAAGCTTGGGTATTAGTGTAAAAGTGACCGGCGAAAGTGATAAAAGTCTCAGTTTCTACAAGTAAGGGCAAGTGACAAGTAAGTGCAGGGAATCATCCATGTTGCAAAATCTTTGAAGGGTATCTAAAATTTTTGTGCTTTCTATATATTACTTTCTTTTGCCAGAATTTGTTATGGTCCTTTAAATCCCAGACTTCAGTCATGAAAAACTTGCTTTTAAGTCACATCATGGATGCTCTGAGCCCCAGCCTGCATCACAGATGTTGGCAGTGATACCATCACATCATCATGGAGAGATGCAATCTCTGTGTCTTTAAATGAATGTCTAATAAATACCAGAAGTTTTTCCTGGATTCAATTTTAGATTGGAGAATTGCAAAGAAACAATTATTCAAACTTTTAAAACAAGAGTAGCAGATAAAGGGAAGGAAGTTAGCAAAAATATGGTGAGGTTGCATGAAGCCAGAAGGAAAATTTTGAACCATTCTTTGATAAGAGAGGAATTCAATGGCTCTTTACCTGGGAAAAATTTAGAGAAGAGGGGAAACAATTAGGACTTTGTTGTCTGATGGAATACAGAATATTTGCTCAGGTTTTGTGATGTAAAATGTAGAAATTGATCTAGACAGATTACTAAAAACTTGTGTTTATAATTTCACATTTTAAAAGTTCATCCTTTATTTTTTGCTTAAAAATTGTAGTGTATGTTTTAAATAAGTTTTGACTTTTCTCTTTAAGAAAAGAATGTACAAAATTATTGCAAGTTTCACAGTACTCCACATTGCAATAATTCTGTACATTCTTTTCTTAAAAAGGTCTGCAGTAATGATACACTTGAAGGTTAAATCACTGTAATAATTATGTAATATGGCAAAACTTTGTGCAGTGTGCAAATGGGCTTTGCACTAACCTATTAGAGATTTGGAAGTGCTGCTCTTGCTGCTTCACAAAGCATTTTTGAAGGGGAGAGTGCTTTTAGTGTTTGACTTCTTTTGAATTTTTTAGATACTGTCTATACTGATTCCATATATTCAACTTTTAATCTATGTTATTTTTCTTTATTTTCCTTGTCTTCTGTATTACTTTGGAGTACTTCTGCATCTGCTTTTCTTTATGCTGTTAAACTCCATCCTTTCTTTTGCACTTTATTCAGTTTAACTATATCTAGACTAATTAGTCTTGGTTTCTGGTTGTTACATAGTGAGGGATGATTATAGTGTTACAAAATTTGTTTTTTGAGATGTCTACAAATAAGATCTGAATCTGCTTCTCTTGCAGTCTGCTTTGATAATTAAATGCTTTTGTGTATAAACTTTCTCCATTTTAGACGTTTTGGAGTTTTTCTAAACCTTTACAGAAAAATTCTGATTGCAGTGCTGTAAACATTAGCATATGCACTCCAGTTTATACACAGCTAAGGTCTCTTAGTTCAGGATAATATTTCCTTCTGCATGAATGTTTGTAGTTTGGGGATTTATGTTTATGAGAATATTTGTTATATTAGAATGAGGGAAGAAGGAAACTACTTCTGCCACCTAGTATATAAAAACTGTATGATATATTTAAGAAAAATACCTCCTTTCCCAAGTTTAATCAATGTCTTAATTTGCTTTTAATTTTGTTTAATGATCTTGTGGTATGGAAAATTAGTGGCTTTGCAGATGAAAAATGTATGAGTAAAAAAAATGCATTCATCTTCTTAGTTATCATCTGTTCCATTGACAAAAGACACAGATGTGAAATTTATCTCAAGAATTAGATTTATAATTATTACATCATTCTCAAATTGATAAGTCTTACTCTCTCTGGCATGTGATTTCAAGCTACTGTTTACATAACAGGAGTAGTTTGAATCATTGAATGGTGATTCTAAACCTGAGACTGTGTTTTACATTATATTTATTTTTATATTTTATAAAAAGTGTATGGCAGAGAAATAAGCTTTAGTTGGAGAAGAATATTTTGTTAATGACTCTACAGGGAAATGCCGGTCATTGCACAGAACAGCAAACGTGCAAGCCTGAAAAGTATCCATGGTGTATTTTCTTTGAAAACTTCTGGTTTTGCCATTATCCATTATAATCATAGACTTCCTGGACATGCCTACAAAAACAACAATAGCTCTGATTTTTAATAGGAAACTGGGAAGTCAAGGAACTCAGTAGCAGAATCTCAAAACGCCCATGTGTGGTACATGCTGTATTTCTGATGCTAATGTCTTCTTTCCTCTCTTTTTGCCCACAGCTGTAGAACAAGTAACAGGAAGAGTTTGATGGGCAGTAGCCAGTCTCCAGCTCTGCCTCGGCCTCATTCACCACTCTCAGCTCATACAGGTGATTTTGTAACTATGCTACTACTGCTGTTCTGTAATAGCAAAAAAGCTGGATTTCATCCTGTCTGAATTTCTGTTTTATATTTAGATCCATAAATCCTATGTTATGATCAGTCCAAAAATATCATTTAACTATTTTTTATTTCTCCACCTGGCATTCTGGTAGATTTTCTCTCCCCCTCCTACCTTTGCTCCTCCTATAGCTTGTACCGCATAAGGTAGGTAGTGGAGTCTGTATTACATTCTGATCCTAGAACTTCTGCTCCCGAGGATTTATAGTGTCAGGCACTTTGGTGGTAGTTGCTGTACATATTGTTGTATTTATTGTTGTAGTTGCTGTATTTATTGCTGTGCATGGCAATAAATTGATGATAATTTTGTTTTTCTTTTCAAATATCTGAAACACTTAAAGCTTGAATGAATGTCCATAAATAAATATTTAATTTATAATAATTGCCTTAATTTTTTAATTAACATTTTTAGCATATCACCTCACATTTACACAAATATTAATTGCCTTTTTATTTTTGAGGGTGCATTGGCAATAACCACAGGCCTGAATGAAAGCACCACACTAATCCTTGTGTGATCAATGACTGTGAATACTCTGGAGAACTTCTTGCAGGGAGATGCTAAACAAGAAGGTGCAGAGCTTCACATGAATTTTTGAAGTATATTAAGGCGTCTCCAGTTTTCTTATGGAAGCAACATTGTTAGAGAAAACCTGGTGGTGATTTTTGCTCTTAGAAGCAACTGCCACAAGTAGGAATCCAGGCAACATGAAAATTTTTAAAGAGTTCAAGGCAGTAGAGCATTTAAAACAACAAAGTAAAACATGGTGCAGACTGTTTCGAAACTGAAAAATTAAATTTTGAAATGTTTGGAATGCCATTCTGGGTCTCTCAAACACAGAAATTTCCATTTGGAGGAGGAGATTGTGGTCACCGTAAAAAGTGTCCATGGTTGTGCTGTGCTGACTTGAGGAAAGCAGTAACAATGCTTGCTCTAGCATGTCTGCTGCTGTAAATGACTATACCATCTGTTTTGAAATGGAAACCTTGGGACAGTGATGCCTGATGGACTCTGAAGTATGGGCTGACCAGCACATGTTACCTGGGATTTGGATATAGGTTGTGTATTTGATAAATGGTGGAAATTTCCTGTCTGGCAGTGGACTCAGGCTTTCATCAAGTTGCTTCATCTTTTGAATTGATTTCTCAAACAGCAAAAGAGAAATAATATTTCTGATGTCACAGCTATTGTCAAGTGGCTGAGAAGGTTGAAAACCTATAAGCAAAAAGATTAAGTGTAAGTGGTTTTTTCATAAACTCAGCAGTATGTACTGTTTATGCAAAAGCATATTACAGAAATCTGACAGCTTCTCCCATTACACAGGATACAATAGGTTCTCTTACTTGGCTATTTCCAAAGGCATGTGTGCTAGGCACTTGAGCAGCACTAGTAACCCTCATAGTAAGTCTCATCACATGTATGAGATTAATGTTTGCATGTGCATGTCCAGCTGTGTTATTAGCTTGTTTCTGTAAATGGGTAATTATAGTAAATATTCACACAACTATTGGATCTTAGCTCAGCTGGCTAGTGTGCCTAGACAAGTCTGTACATCAGATCCCTGTGACTGTCATCCTAATCCACACAAATAAAAAAGATGCAAATTTAGTAAGCTAAGTACTTTCCTCTACACAGGCAGTAGGAGTTCAGTATTTCGAGTGTTTAATGTCTATAAATCTGTGAGAATGTCAGACTTGGGAGGCTGGATTTATAGTGATCCTGTGATTTCTGTGTTGTCAGAGCTGCCAGGTGTTAAACTGCACCAGGTTCTGCACACTCACATTGCCTTTCTCCTCTCTGTTGTGGCATGTACTGAAGGCCTGTTTCCTTGCGAGGTGTGGTAGGGGGATGTGACAAGACACTGTGTGTGCTGTACAGCTTGCTGGGTTTGTTCTTCTTAGCTGAGAGGATTTGCTCCAAGTCAGAGAGGCCTCCTTGACTCCAAGGAGAGAACCTGGTATATCTCCTGTCCAGCTATAGATGATTTTAGGGTCTTTTTTGAAGCTGAGATTCTCTTAGGAAAGTTCTTTAAATTGGAAGTTTTTACTTTAGAGCCAGACCATCTGCCTGGAGCATGTACCTCAAGCTTAAGTTTCAGAGAGACTGAAGATGATCCTCTAAAACCTTCAAATATTTCTACTAACTTTTGCTTTTGGAAGGGGGAACAGTAGAAGAGGGAGAGGCAGACAAAAAAGTTCCCAGTCCCTGGGGAGCATGTAGCAAGCTGAATGTGCAGCAAAGTGTCAGTGCTTGCATTTACTGAAAACAAACAGATTTATTCATTAGTCTGTTCTTGGCTGAAGTGTGGTAATAACATGCATTTTTGACAAATATGTTCTTCTGAGGTTGTGCAGAATTTGCAGGACATTGAAGAGCATGTGCTCTAGAGAATTTTTCCTTGTGTATTTTTAGAGTTCTGTTTCATTCATGCAATCTGCCCACGTGAGTTCAGGCTGAGGATCAGGCTGCATGCTAACATCTGATTTAACTTCATGAGACCATTGCACAATTTCTTGTCACTGGGTTGTCAAAAGAAAATACTGATTCTTGCATCACTTGCCTTTTTTAAGGGACTCATTTTAACTGATGAGAAAGCCAGGAACTTTAGGCATTGAGGACTCTTAGTATCACCTATCCTAGAAATTGTTAGCTTCCTCACATTGCATGTTAAGCTATTTCTTCTACTGGATCCCACTCCTGTACTCCCTACTCCCAGGTGCTCTATCCATCTCTGGGGAGAGCCTGCTGTTGCTCTTACTGAAAAGAGTTCCATTCATTGCTCTTATTTAAGTGGACTAGATTCTTAATGTTTTTACCATCTTAGTTGCCAGCTGGATTAAAGCACAACAAAGGGATAAAGACCTGCAATAAAAGCTAAGTACCATGCAGCTGCTCACCTGCCCATCCCCCCTACAGCAGATAGAAAAATTAGAAAAAAAAAAAAAAAGTAAAATTTGTGAGTTGAGATTAGAACAGTTTAATAACTAAAACAAAACATAAAAATACAAGATTACTACTGAAGATAATAATAACAACAATAACAATTGTAATGAAAAGGGGAGAGTGGTGTATCATACCCAAGAGAAGCAAGTGACCCACAATACAATTGCTTACGAGCTGCTGAGCAATGCCCAGCCCAGCCCCCAGCAGCATCAGCCCCTCCTGGCCAGCTCCCTGCAGTTTACATCCTGGACACGCTGCTCTGTGTGTGGAACATCCCTCTGGCTGTTCGGGTCGCTGTCCCCGCCGTGCTCCCTCCCAGAGCCCTGCGCACGTGGTCCCTGGACACTGAAGGGCCTTGGCTAAGGGTGGGCGCTGCTCAGCAGCAGCTGGAGCATCAGTGTGCTGCCAGCCTTCGTCTCATGCTGGCTCCAAACACTGAACCAGTGACTAAGAAGAAAATTCTATCCCAGCTGAAATCAGCGTGCCCTTTACTGTAGACTGTTCAAGTTGAGTGGAATCAAAATTGTCACACTCTTGAAAATCCACCCGGGATCAATTTCTTTTAGTTATCATCTTAATAGTCTTTAGTGTTATCCTTGCCTTTGTGTGTAGTCCTAATGAGATGGTTGGCATTGCTTGGGAATTTGTTGTCCCAGAGGCATCTGAAGTGAGTCTTTTCATTCTTTGTGAGGACACCCTTGGATTCCCTAACAAGCTTTTCCTCATTGCTTGTTGAGAGCAAGCCAAATACATCCTCAGTTAACTCTGCATGGCATACTTGAGATTATTTTATTTGGACCACTAGTTTAAACTACTTGGGTTTGTTTCCCCAAAGGCCTCCCATCTCAGAAAGTGATCCCATCCCAGACAGAAAAGTGCTGTGAGTCCTCTGTATCAAATGTAGCAAAGTGAGTGAAGGTGTGTTCTGGAATCTCAAGGTGGAGCTCTCTTAGAGTGCCCTGCATAACCACTCCTGCCAGTGCCTCTGACTTTGCTCAAGAACATTTTCATCTTTGGTATCTGCAGACCAATCATTTAGAGGTCTGGCTGCACCTTTGGAAGCAATGTGCTATTACTTCAGATCTGCTGAAGAGCTCAAGTAGCTACTTTAGTCTAGTCATAAACTACTAGTCATAAAGTAGCTACTTTAGTTTTGTCATAAACTGGATTTGAACTAGATTGGATGTGAATAGGATTGCTGTGTTTTAGAGGACGAACATCTTGGATGTAAGCATAGATCTTCAACTGCATTTTATACCTATGTTCTTCCTTGTAGTCCTGTTTTTCATCCAGATACAGTCTGAACTGGAGGTGTCAGCTGTTCTATAGTTTAGATAGAAGTTCTTTGAGGAGGACCAGTGGCCCAAGTTTAGGGTAATAATAATTGCCTTATATGAGAAAGTCTAATATAGAGATCTCAGGCAAATTATCCCCCCACTCTCCCCCCACAGTTTTCATTGCTTACTCTGGAGATAATAGAAGATTTTTCCTACAAGGGAGTTTGTTGTTAATCTTTATAGATGCAAGCTGATTGGGACAAGCACTGAATACTTACATGGAGTTTTTTAACTATTAGCCTTGCTATCCCAGTCATACTCAGATTCATGTCAGATGGGAGGGAGAGACAGGCGAGACAGTCTTATGAAGTAAGTAGATTGTGCAGAGTGCAAGTAGTGCATGAGTGGCATCTGTCAGGAAAGGGGCAGATTTGTTTGTAAGCAACAGTGACCATAAAAGCTTCTGGGATACACTAAAGTGTTATTAGAGCAGTAAGTAGTCCAAGGATTGGGAGCCCATGGGGTAGGGTCTGAGACTCAGGATGATAAATGAGATACGAAAAAGACCGTATGTACAGCAGATACTATATGTCTGTTAATGTATGTTAATTGCCAATACAATGTATAAAATAAGTTTTTCTCCAGGCAGGACCTGTAGCTGATTGCAGAGATAATTTCTGTCTGGAAAGTCAGACTTTAGTTTGCAACT